TTCGATATCAGACCCCCCTGATAGAAGAGTTATCAGTCTCCCTCAGTGTGAGCTTCTCCCCTCCCTCCCCATCCTCCCGTCCCTCCGTCCCCTTTCCATCAGGGTTGTGTTCCAGTCTAACATGCAAGTGTATTGCCTATGCTGACTGAAAGGCTTAGATAATGAATCAGTGTTCTCAGAGCTAACATCAGGCAACCAGAGTAAACGCTGCTCGACAGAAGAGGTCAAAATGGATTCAGTCAGAAAGAAAGATCATATCAGCACCGTTGTATAATGATATCAGGGTGAATGGAAACTCATAGGACAAACCCTGGTCAAGTGCTGCTATAATGACATGGGAGCTGCACCTACAGATGTCACACTTGAAAGTTTAATCCCTTATGCTTCTTAAGCTCAGACTGAGTTATAGTAAGTTGTAAGTGAAGAATGTTTGAAGTTAATGATGGCCATTCAAATGGATTCTAGATTGGAATGTTAAGTGCTACCTTTGCTGCTACTTCTAGAGTGTTCAATCCAAAATGCTATCCAAAGCCATTTGTGAAAAGAAGACGTTTGAAAAGAGTAAGAGCTAACATATAACCATGGTTGGGATGTAACACAATATAGAATAAAGTATTGGGAATACATATTCAGAATACAGAAAATTAGTATCTGTTCTCAGTCCAAGTTACGGTTGAACAATTTCAGAACATTTACTCACAACATTTTTAAAATATGTACCACCTTTAAAAGAATCACCATCAATGCTTGTTTATTAAATATTTTAAAATCAGCACACAGCGTGTAAATATGCATGCGAAAGAAGAAAAGAAGAAGAAAAAATCTGCTTCTTTAAAAAGCCTAAGTGCACTGATAAATCAACATGATGAGCCAGTTAATAATCTCAGCATTACTAAAGTCTTTTAAGGGATAATACACAGTAGTGGATATAGTCAGCAGTAATAAGCGCAGCATCAGTGGTGTACAGGCATTTCATGGAAAATAACATATATGTCGATAGTTGAAAATCACAGCTACCCTTTTTATATACAAATATGCAAAATTCTGCTATTGTGATATGGCAAATTATTTGTTTAGTCCATGAGAAAGCAGTGGGATTATGGGATCATCAGACTCAATCAAGGGATGAATAACATAATAACCAAAATAACATTGAGAATTTTGTAACTTCATTTAAATAACTAAACTGGATTACATGAAGAACTGCCAACTAGTGACCGTGAGGAACAGTGTGCTGTTGTAATGAAAACAACAACAGCAAAGTCTCCCATGTGCCTTATCAATATATATTCTAGATGTATTCTGAATATATTACCTTTTTAAGTGTTATTGAATACATATAGGTGAGTCTATTCAGTATCCAGCCATTACCTATTGCCGAACTAATTGGGAGAAATGCAAGTAACACCCTGGAGAGGTCACCAGTCCATCACAGGGCAGACACACAGACATATACATTCACGCATGCACTCACACCTAGGGGCAATTTAGCATCTCCAATTTGCCTAACTGCATGTTTTTGGACTGTGAAAGGAAACTGGAGCCCCTGGAGGAAACCCACACAGACACAGGGAGAACATGCCAACTCCACACAGAAATGACCCTGGGTGCCCAGCCAGGGAATTGAACCCAGGCTTTTCTGGCTGTGCTTTCTTGACCAAAATCGAACCCAAATTAAAATTCAGGACAAACTTGGTCAAAAACTGAAACCAAAAGAAATATTTAAGTGTTATGTGTTAGATTTTGACACTTCATTGTAGACCTATTTGATCCTTTGCTTTTATTGCTGAAATCTCTGGCCTCTGCTTCTCTTTCTTAGGCTGAACATTTTTTAATGGCCAAAATTATTCTAAATGTGACACATCTACTTAATAAGTTGAATAAAGGCAATAGGCAGAAATACAGTCTTGTACAAGATCTACTGCAGATGACAGGATTTTTATGAAAGCCAATGCTCCATAGATTGTTATGTGGATGCTTTGTAATACTGACACATACAAAAGGTAGCAGAGTTAGCAGTTGTGTTAAGCACTACTGTATACTACAGCCAACCTCTCCAGTCAGAAACCTTTTTTGCTAGAACTCTCTAACACAGTCTCTTATTATAAGCTCATTGGCTTATAATGACAACAGGACATCACTTGTGTGGGAGACATTATCGAAAAGTTATTGTCAAAATACATTTTCAAAAATAAGTGCTTTTTCTGGACAGCCATTTCACAACCCACAGGTTGGGAACCACCCTTTAGCGTGAGCTAATCATAAGCTTTTGGGCATGCTTCGTATTTATCCTGAGCACTCACTTGTGAATGTCATGGATTTAGAAATCATCCTGAGATACATTTTGTGAATTTGAATTAACTGGTTAATATAATCAAAGCCTGATGACAGCAAAATGGAGGTAAAACAAAATCAAACCAAATATCTAAAAAATTTTGCAAAGAAGAATTAGAAGTGGAGGAAACAGACAACAAGGGAAAAAACGTCTTGGTCTATTTTAACAATTATACATTGTGAAACTTATTTATTTAACTTAAGTTATTTTTAGATTTTTATCTTGCTCACTCCTACAGTCCAAGACAAGTGTGAAGCTGTAATGTATTTTTTCAAGAACATCACTTGTTCTTAGAATTGTTCTTAAGAGAAAATTTAAGAAACACAAAGAGAATTTAGCCCAACTTAATCATGTCTTTAATAAGTGTGTATTTATACTTAATAAATTCAACAACAATGTAACTACTGATTATGGATTCACTGTTACAGCTGTATTACAGTAGTACAATAGTTAATAGTTGTTAAAGCTTATTTTTTCATATGTAATTATACATGTTTAACAGGGTGAGCGTATTTACTTTTGTATGAATTGCTGTTCTTCTAACATTTTTCTGATTACAACAAGAATGTGTAATTACCTACACTATGTGAATACTTACACTGTATCTGCACATGAAATGCCAACTTTCTCAATATTTAGCTAGCTGTAGTACTATGTTTTTATTGCGACATGGTAATCTAACAAAACCTAAATGATATGTGCTGTCTTACACTACCCCAAATCAAAGAAAGTCTGTATTACCAACCTATAATTTCACTATGCCTACAGAAAAACTATACACTTATTGTAAAATTTTTGCTGTGGAAAATGTGCTGTAACATTGTAACACCATCAAATCACATGGATTAATACTTATTATTAATCTGTAATCTCACAGTACTTAGATAAAGATCAATCTTTTAAAGATAATTGGACATCTGCTGTTGCTGTACATTGTGTCACATTACAGAATAGTTTCAAGCTAGAATTTTGGTTACCATGTCACAACATAAGTATACTACAAGCTAGCTAAACATTGGGAAAGCTGGAATTTACTGAGGATTTACTCTTTTTATGTAGGTAATTATACATCTCCTGTTTTTATATATATATATCCCATCTGTAACAATGAATACTTCACCAGTAGATACATTGTTGTTGCATGCAATGTGTAACTACATAGTTGTTAGCAAATGATTTAAAGTGGGGACAAGAATTCCTAAACTTTTTTTTTCTTAAACTAAGAATGAAGTAAAGAAAAAAAAGCATGTTTAAGAAGATTTTCGTTCTCAAGACAGTCCAGTCTCTGGTGTTTACTGCAGCTACTTGTGTTCCTAGTATTTTAAAAAATATGTATTTAAAATTTGGATACTTGCATTAATTATTTATTTGAAATTGTGTACATATTTTAATATTTTAAAAGAAAATAAAGCAAATGAATGTTGAGGGGTTAAAGCTGAGCAAGTTGATTTCTTTGCCTATTCTTAGATAAGGCAGTCTATACACTGCATATGAATTCAAAGTTATTGACAGAAACCTGTGAAATACATATCACATTTACAACTCACAATATAAGTATGCATGACTGAAAGCAGTAATTGTGAAGATTTGAACTGACACTCCTGTTGCCCTTGCTGCTTTCTCTGTACTTGGGAAAGAAGGAGGACAAAGGGAGGTGGAGAAGATTAAGGTGAAGCACTGCTGAAGAGAGGCTCTGATGCACACTCTGGAGAGAGAGTAATATGCTCATTATCCACCCAGACTCCACGTCTGCTACATCACTTTCATCATCCCATACTTTCCAACATGGAAAAATGCTACATGGCAAAAGTGAGACAGACTTTAAAAATAGGTGCAGAGATAGAGGTAGAGATATAGAAAGAGAGATGTAGAGCCAAATTCAATTCAATCCACTTCAACCTCTTTCGCAGCACTTTATCGCTTAAAAAAATCAAGGAAACTGAAATCCGAGAGCTTGCAATAACCTCTGTGCTTCAATTCGGTGGGAACAGCAATCTTTTAGAGATCTAAAATATATCTGTGTGCTGTGCTAAGCTGTGCCCTTGTAGATTACACCATTGTTTACTCCATTTCTGGTCGTCCTCCAGCATTGTCGCTTCTTCATAACCATGTAATTACACTGTTCCACAGCCATAGCAATGTAATGACCACCCAGAGCCATTTCTGTGCTATTTTATCATTACTGTCCCATGGATGCAGCCTCTAATTCCTATTATTATTCTTATCAGACGTCTTAAAAGACTACAGGGATAATGCCCACCCAATTTGCAGCAAGGTAAATTAGCATTAAACCAGAAAGCGTTTGGAGCAGTGGGTTTTTCACTAATGTCTTTAGTTAAGACAGGGGCCCACTGAACAAGCAGCGTAAAGCATGTTTTACATTATTTTATCATGCAAAACGACACTTACAAAGAATTTAAAACAAGGGAAGCACCACCAACCCCCACCCAGCTCCCACAGGCACTGATCCAGCAATGTTTTATGAAAATATTAGCAAAGTATCAATTAGAAAAATACCCTAAGAATATTTTACTGAATATGATTAGTAATCTCTTATGCATTACCATTATTTTTAAAGACTATGTCCCAGACAATTGTCCTCAGCAGAATTATTATTTAAAAACACCATGACTTTGTGTAAGTCTCACAACAAATGTTCCCTTACCTTCTGTCGAATCTCCTCCTCCATCTTGACAGGGGAGCCTAGCTCTGCAACCTGTTTCACTCCTTCACTTGCATATCCTCCATATTCCCACAACACATAGTTCTTGGAGTGGGATGCACCGATGATGGCTGACCAATGGTTGGCTCTCCCTGTAAGAATGAAAAATATTTCACAATTTGCATCACATTACACACTGTTATGAAGGTAAGCTGCCAAACAGAGCCCCATGATTAAGTATATACACTATTACTCGAAGGAATCACTGTTCAAAAGATTGGAATGTTGTCAATGATCAAAACATGTTTTGATTGCAGATGAATGCATGAAATGATTCTAACGGTTAAACTTCAGAAGTTTTAATTAATTAGTAGGATGCTGGGAAACTGAAAAAACTGCAGGTTATTCTAAAATGACAGAAAGCTGTATAGCATCAGGAATAAAGTTATAATACAATGAATACTGAGAATGCCTCACATTTCTAAAGTCCCTTGAGTTTTTCAAATTTCAAGGAAGATAACCTGATAAAAATGACTATAAGTACTCCAGAGTGGCGCAGTCATCTAAGTGTTTGCCCTATCATCAGGAATTTGTGAGTTCAATTCCCGGCAATGCCACAGCCATCCATGGCCAAGAGACTGTAACAGGCCTCGCTCACTCCCCTGTCTTAAAGCAATGCTAGTAGTCTGTTAGCTGATGTAACAGAATTGGATGTTAGTGTTCTCCCTCAAGTGTGTTAAGCTGACCAAAGACATTGAGTTATCAGCATTTTGAAAAGATGCAGTGGCACTTTATGTGTCTCAGAGGAAGCTTGTGTTAGACTTCACTCTCCCAGCTTGATAGTCAGGGTTGAAAAGTAATGGAATACATGTAGCAGCACTACATATATCAACAAGATACAAAAAAGTAGTATTCCATTATAGTCACAAAACCAGATTACAGGTACAATCTAAAAAAGGGGTGATTACTAGCAAGATTACATTCAAACCACTCTCACAGTTATTTTCTTGCCTGGGTTTGTCCCTATGGGCTCAATCTGTCTGCAAAATGTAGATTTTGTTGTTAGGGTTTTTTTTGTGAGATAGAGATGGAGAAGGAACAAAGCGTTCTGTGGTTGTGGTGAGGGGAGGCAGTGTGTTGTAAGTGGCATGAAAAAAATTTCATTACAAGCAGCATGTTTACTATGGCAACAATGATAAGGTATAACTGATAGATCCACGTTAAGCTAAAATTTGCCTTTATGTTGTAAATTTCACTTTTCCTTGCACAGTTTCTTTCACTGTTGTTATGACTGGGGTGATGTAGATCTGTATCCTTGTCAGAACTGTGTAAGTTAGACAATAAAAATCAAGTTGGGATGAAGAGTTTTCCACACGGCACAGAAAATGAACCAGAAAATGAACTAGACTGAGAAGAGCAGCATGTAGCTCTGTCTCGTATCGACTGAAGGGTATAAACAGCTTCCTTAGCAAGCTTCCTTAAGAAGTCCATGTCATTCATGTGAGCAGTTTTAAGGGTAAGTCACTTTGCATAACAAAACAGGAATATTCCAATATTTAATTTTTGCATCCCAAAATAAACATGCCTTTCTTTAATACCTGATTAACTCCACTAAAACATTTGGTGACATTTTTAAACGGCCTTACACACAGAACACACAAAGCACAGACTGTTATACACCACCTGTTTCCTGTGTTAGAAGGTCTCCCTGCTGAAATTGTTTTTCTCTGGTATTTATCTACTTATGTGACTTATATGACAGGAAATAATATTGGAAAATGATCACATTACTTTACTGTAGTAGACTTTTGGATTGGTTACAAAGCACATTTTTTTACAAGGTAATCAGTAATCTGTACTAATAATCTGTACTGTAATTCCATTTTAAATGTCTAGTTAATGTGTACACTCACTTAATATGGCAGTAAGTCACCCTATTCTCAAAGCATCTGTATGACACTGTTTCCCTGTAAGAGACTGTGGGTATAACAGGTTAGGTAAACTCCTGGCACAGAGGTACCATCTGTCAACCTCTGACACCAAGCCCCAGCACACACCGCTGCCCTGCACTGCCCAATCGATGCGAAACGTGCTCCCCAATTACTCCAGCTCTGACCAGTAATTAGCCCAGCGACAGCCATGACAGATGTCCCATCAAATAGTGACCACAAATAGCTCTCACTGTAGACATTCAACATGGCCCCTAAAACTAAGTGTGCTTAAACCCAAAGCCTCACACTCCCTTTGCAACCAATGTTGTGATCCTGTGAAGCCATGAAAGCTAACAATTTACACCATGAATAACAATTTAATAAGTGTGCTTATATAGTTCGTGGAAACCAGCTGCTTTGACCTGTTTCTGCTGCCATAACTTAATTTATTCTATACAAACAAATACCTTAATTAAGTTGAGTCAGGGGAAATTCAGCTGTGTTCAGGCAATCAGTTTCTGTGAAGTGTTTGGCTATGCTGGGCCCATCAAGTTTTACAGTGTAATTATAACTGAGGCTGAGCACACGAAATACCCAGAACTGTTGTAATATAAGTATGAGCTGTTTTTCAACTCAGTTGATTAAAGTTCTTGGGGGAGACATAGCAAGATGTAATCATCATAAACCATGCTAATAAAATCCTTATGTGTAGCATTTTCTTATCTAAGCTATTAAAACTTCAGTACCATTACGAAAAGTACAGTGTTCTGCAACAGTCAGAGACCATCATTCGTTTAATTTATATCCAGGGAAAACGATCATTAAGTGCAAATGATTGACTTTCCAGCATCAGGAAAAGAGCAGAAAACATATTTAACAGAAAATTACTCAGAAGCCTCAAACAACTGAATATATCACTTTTTTTCAGTATTTAGTGTGTCCACCCTCTGCCTTTGTTATAGCTTCCCTTCTTTTCAGAAGACTTGCTTTCAGTTTATTAGAGATTTACAGGGATATTTTTCCACACCTCCAAAGTTCAGTCTTAGAAGTTAGTTGCCTTTTTCTGCTTCTTATGATCCTAAACATGTATAATTCCAAACATTAAATGATGGTGCGGTCTGGATGGTCAGTCCATTGTTCTGAGAAAAAACTCTTTTTGTTTGATCTGCACATTTTTTTCCTCGATTTTTCTTTCTCAGTAAGGGCTTCCTGACAGCTAAACATCCTTTCAGACTCATAGTGCTGAGCTGTCTTCTTAAAGTAGATAGATGGACAGAAAAAACAGAGGGTTTTTTTTTTTCAAATTTTTTCTGAAACAAGAGTGGAGCTTGATTTTCTCCTCTCTCTCAAAGATAAAAGCTTTAAGTGCTTATCTGATAGTGACAGTTTTGGCTTGGTAGGAGTCCCATTTTCTTTTAATATATATTTTTGAAAACTTGAGTTACCTGTTCATTATGTGAATGGATTAACTTAAATGTAAAAAAAAAAAATCCTGAAAATGTATAACTTGTGCTTAATAGCTGTTTTGACTAGAAGTTAAATGAATAAAAGGTGGTCTCTCACTCTTGAACAGTACTGTTATTGCATTCGTATATACATACATATTAGGTGCACGTATCTTATATTGCCCATTTTATCATGTCCACTTACCATACAAGCACACTTTGTAGTTCAATTATAGATTCATCAATGGTAATCAATAGCCAGGACCCTAGAGGACCACCACTGAGGTATTATTTGGGTGGCACACTAACCTACCCAGTCAACAGCATCATTTCACCAGACATTGACCACTGATGAAGGACTAGAAACTGTGTAGCAACAGATGAGCTATCGTCTCTAACTTCAAATCTACAAGATGGACCAACAAGATAGGTGTGTCTGATAGAGTGGACAGCGAGTGGACATAGTGTTTAATCCCCTGGGGTCTAAGGGTATTGTCTCGATTTTTTCATATCTTCTTAAAATCGCCTTTAAAGGAACTTGCATATAATATGGTTCCCATTTGTTTTGCATTAAATGCTCAGTTATCATCATTGCTACTTTCCAAAACAGCTGCAGCAGCTATAAACTTTTCTTAAACCATTTCACACGTATTTCTGATGTTGACTTAATGAAGAATGAAGGGTTTCCAAAGTGATGGGTCAGTCCTTAGTGAGTGTCCATTTGTCAGTTTCACACAAAATGCAGACGCACACACAAATCCACCAATTACGCACAGAGAGAGGCAGATGACATGTTTCTTAAAGCCTCATTACTCTGGATCTGAGTCATGTACAATCTCGCAATATGATGGAACAGAAAGGGCAACTCTACAGATTCAGGAAATGTTTGAACCATGTTTCTGTGCTGTATTATCACAAAGATAGAGAAACATATACAGAAACATCAAATTTGATCCACAGGTGCATTCATGGACCCAGGTTTAAAAGCTCTAGTATCACTGCTGTGTCTGATCCCCTAACATGTCGCTATCATGCTAGTATCATTGCAGTGCTGAGAATGATCGACCACTCAAATAATACTTCTGTGGTGGTCCTGTGGGGGTCCTGACAATTGAAAAACAGGGTAAAAGAAGGAACAGATGGACTACAGTCTGTAACTGAAGATGTACAAAGATTGAAGATGCAAATGGATCTTATAAAATGAACAGTGAGTGGAGACACAAGGTAGGTGCACACAATAAAGTGGCCAGCGAGTGTAAATGTGTACATACATGTACAAATAAATAAACAAATGAACATAAACATTATTAGACTAGTGTTCATTTAGGCAGTTACATAAAAAGGACACAAATGACATTAAACTAAACGGAAAATTGACCAAAACTAGAAACATTTAACAACACACCATACTGTTACTCTAATCTTAATATACAGAATGTTATTGTATGTAGTGAAGCCAGTATGTGGTACGAAGAAAAAAAACTCCAAGTGCAAATCCAGCATTGTTAAAAACTATACAAGCAAGTGATGAGACTGAAACTGAATTATAATAACCTTGGGACAGAGAACTCCTCAAGAAAATCAGATTGTATGAAGCTTTCCGAATGGCAGCGCTTATTGGTGAAAAGTTTTGTTGCTAGGGAGCCGTTCAGTAAACAGATTCATAATTCTCCTCCAATTTCATAAGGTGCTGCTGAAACAATGAAATCTATATCCCAGGCCACTCTTTATCAGTCTGCACCGGGATTTTAAAGCCTCCAATCTAATTTCCCTCTGCACTGAAACTATTCTGGTGGCATGTCGGTGTGCGTACAAACATCCAGTGCAGAAGAAGTGCTTATCACCCACTCTCTGTAAGGTTAATCCCCCTAGCCAATCCATCAGGCCTGCATCACGTCTCAGTGACAAGCTCTGATGTTCAAACCCTTATTTTCATATTTCCTGTCAAACACAGCGGTAGCCTCTATCTCTCTCCAATAATATTCATGAGGGTTTTTTCAGCACAGGCAAAACCTGGTTCCAAATTTTAACCCATTAGAAATCGGGAGTTATTCTGTTGACAGGCTGGAGTCTTCTTAAACGGTTTTTAATCTGACATCGTGGTGCTATTCACAGAATTTAGCACAGATGTCCATGAGGCACACACTTGAAAAATAAAACACTTGAATGGATGCACAGAAAATAAAACAGCCAATTAATTCACTATTGTACAGATGAATGCAGTTAAAAAGACATTTATGTTTAATTTGTTTGGCCACATATATATCTAAATAGAGCTTCAGGATTAAAGAAGTGAAATCTAATACTTAGTATATCACACATTGTGACAACAGTGCCCATTGGACATACATAAAAAATGAGATGTAAAGCAATGTTTGATGAATGAACTTAGACTGTTGAAAGTATTTTTATTGACAAAGTTCTGTAAAATTTCATGGTCAACACCCATTTTTTGAAAAAAGCTTAAAAGATTTACTTTAATTGTTCTTACTGTTTTTATTCTTGTAAAATACTGTATGTCAGAATAACTAGTTGAAGGTTAATGAAACTGTTGAATTACAAAAAGGCAGTTTTTCTAATAAATTACATGACTAATTTTATAGACTTTCACCATCATTGAGAAAACATACTTTCAGTGTTAATCAACAGGTCATACATGCATTTTTTTTGTATTCATGATGGCTATTTGTATCTAATGATGACCATTTATTCCGCATGTTAGGTGATAATGAGAGTTTTGGGTCAGTTTTGGACAAAATGATCTTTACTTGAACTTACTTTTGGACCTAAAATTTTCAGCAGTGGGTCTGATAAGCAAGTTAGACAGAAAAAAAGGGTTCAGTCTTTCAAGAGTTTTTGAGGTGCTCATTTTAATTAAGTCACAATAAAAAATAATGAAACTATTTTTTTTTATCTAAAGAATAATTATTCTGCATAAAATCATTTAAAAATATAATTGTGCATAACATTAAATATTTCAATGAAAAAACTTCATCCTATAGATCATTCTCGGTCCAGAACAGATTGTACCAGGAAAAGTCTGTTCAGCTTGTTTCTCTTGTGAAAGACTCTTTCTCTTCAGAAAGTACGTTCCGCCTCCTAAACTGGAACAATCAGACGACTTGATGTACTTCAGTTTGTCTCAGTAGAGATTTCTGTGTGTAAAGCAGAACATCATCCATCTGTACTGGCTTCCTCACACTAAAGAGGTTTTTTTTGCACGTCTTGGTAAGATTTCAATTCCCTGACCCTCTCAGCCATCTGACTCAGCTCCGCTGCCATATCAATCCAGTCCCATTCTCCTCCTCTTCACTATTGTCTTCTGGGGACCTTGACCCATCTGCCACAAAGCTACAGGATGATCAGAGCTGAATGACATGGTGCAAAAAGACAGGGGCTGATAAATGGATACAAAAATAAAGATGAAATATAAAAACATGCCACAGAACAACCTTTTCTATCAGAAAGTGTGTCAACGCTTGTGCTCATTTGCTTTGTGTCTCAAGGACAGATGAAAACATGGTAAATTTAGCCAGATAACAGGTGCCATTGCATCATGCTGAAGCTTCATACTGTGTCTTTCTCTGCATGCTGTGTTCAACAGTCCACTTAGCAACTGCTCCACATAGCAACTGTTTCTTAATTGGCGTATGTGTGTATTTGTGGCTAAGCATGTGTGTAAAACTGACCCACCTTTTTGCCAAAGCTAGCATCAGCACACAATGTTTCTCTCTGTTTCCTAAGCTCATAAATTTTAGGGCAGCTCCTTCCTTGGGTTTATCTCACTCCCAGAGTCCATTCTAATCAGCGTATTGATCTGGGTTGCCAGAGCGCAAGCTCGAGTGGAGAATGGTGGTAATCCCTAGGCTTAATTTACTCTCAACGAGGCAGTCTCAAGGTTATACACAAAGCCCACAAAGACAAGAGCAGTTTAGTCTTGATGAGACCAGTTTTACTGAAGGAGGAAAAGTACAGTGGGTCAAAGGCACATTTAGGTCCCTCTTAAAGGTAGATGTGAAGCTAAATAAATAAATGGGCTAAATAGATCTCTGAGGTTGTGGGTCATTTTGAAGGAGTGGATATGCTTATATCTTTGAATAATGTTACTTTCGAGAGACATTCCAATG